TTAGAGTGCTCATTCATGCTATTGTAAGTTCTTTAAATTCTAAGGGATGTACAGGGATAAGACTTTTTGCTATAAACTAGATAGAAGAAAATATGAAACCAATGGGGTTTCTTTGATTTTATAAGATGTACCCCTTATCATATGTCCTCCTCCTCCATCTCCTTCTCCTCATTCTTCTTTCTCTTTCTCAATACTGTGCTTAAATATCACTTTGAAAATACAGCTTTTAAAAAGTGAACCATTCCTTTGGGGAATAGATTACTGAAACTCCCAGACTTACAGAGTGGAGCATGTGAACCTCCTGTGCCAATACTGACATGTGATTCATGCCAATTGTTCACTTGGGTTTCATCTAGTAGGTAGTTATAAATCAGATTTATGAAGAGGAAACTCAAATTGTGCATTGGAATGGATTTATGATAAAGCCATCAAAGTGGAGGGTCCAGCTGGTAGGAATGCAGTAAAGGTAATAGGACAGTGTCATGTAAACATTAACTACAGTGCCTTCCACCTTCATAAATCCTCTGTGCTCATGATTAAATGCTGCTGGTTATAAATTATGCAACAAATTCAGCCACAATTTAAATAAGACATAAGTAGAAGTCATAAATTGTCTACAAGTTTTTTCTTAGGAAACTTGATTGTTTATTAGGGGGTAATACCAGAATCTTTAGTTTCTCAACAATTATTTACCTCAATTTACTTAACACACCACAATGACTTCTAGCCAAGATTAAAGAGTAACAATGCGTATCTTCAATCCTAGACAATGTGTCATTGTTATGTGGTAAAGTTCCTTTTTGATTTGCAGGCTTATTTTAAAATATTTCTAATATATACAGCTTTCAGTCTCTAAAATGTTACTCCTTTTAAGAGTTACGTATCAGACTTTTTGCAACAGCCCACTTCCCCATAGGTATTTACAATCAAATGATTTTATTACACATGGGAATAATTAAACATTTGGCTGTCAGCTGTAAACAATTACTATTCACAATGACATTCGTGGGTTTATCTTAAATAGTTGTGTATTCCTAATGACCTCTGTTAACAAACATGAGATTGATGTATATGCACTTTGTGTGCTTCCATAAGCAATTATATTTCCAAACATAATATCAAGAGAGAGAGACTTCACTTACATGGTACACTGTCATAGTCTGATAACATGTGGCTACCTGCAATGATTTTCTCTGGTGGAATTTGTTTCTGTTCCACTGTCATTTTACTTCAGCTCCAAATTACTTCTAAAATCTACTCGCGTTCACAGAAAGAAGCATGTAAAGTTTTGGATGATTTGTTTGTAAAAATAATTTGGGGTGTACGATTCTAAGATATCAATATCTGAAAAGTACCAGAGAGGTAAATATACAGTATAAGGAAAGATAACCAAATAGGCTTAGGCTTATATTCTAGTTCTGTCAATTTCTAGCTGAGTGATGTTGGGCAATTCTCCAGGTTTGGTTTTCATATTTAAAAAGCTTTGGTTGTTGTATGTATATCTTAGGGATAATAGGATTACTAAATAAAATATATACCTAGTATATATCGATTTCTCCATTGTCTTCCATGCTCTTCTCTCAGAAAGGTCCATAAGATATTGGACTCTGTTTTGGGTATACCCACCCTAGTTGTCAAGTTTGGAAATGCGTCTTACCTTCAACAGATTCCTCTTTTCGTTAAGTGATAATTATAGCCACTCACAGCTGTTTTACTCTCAACCAGAAATAAGTCAACCAGTTCCAGTTGCAAGGGTACCTAACAGCTGTATCCAGCCTTTCTAGGAGACCAGAAATGGAGCTGAGTGGTAATGTTTCAAGGGCAAAGCTCTAGATGTAATGAATGATAAAACAAACCCTAAATGAGCCTGCAGATATCTAGTGACAGACACACCACAGCTATTCTAAATTATTCAAGCTTTCTCAGAATCCTAGCAGGGAAACATAACTCATTTCTGCTCTATTCTACTTTCATATAGTGGCAAACAGCAAACAAAAAAAATCCCATCTCTAAAAGGGATATTATAGTAATTATTAAAATTGAAAAGAGTTCTGCCTTACTACATGTAGTATTTTTAGAACTATCCAATTTCTGGTGATTACTTTTGTAGAAGTTAAATATGAGTTTATAATACGAATGGCTGATTTCCTTACTGGCCTTTTGCTTGTTAGAATTTTGCTTGCAAAATTCTAATAAAAGAGTTGTTTAATTACCAAGTGTATCACAAATATATAACCTCCTAGATAAGTGGTTACTGTTTTACAGCAGCAATAATACCAGTGTCAAAAGTAACAAAGAAAATTAATCTTGAAATAAGCAAACCTCAGAAGAACAGCTTTGTGTATTAAGAATAATTAATGACTTGTTTAAAAAATGATACTGAAATGTGGTTTTTGGACAAGAACTGACACTCTTTAGAGGTTAGGTACCCTAATATTTGACAGACTACCACTTAGTAGACTTACTGTCTGGCTACCTTGTAGACATGAAAACTTTGTTCAGATGTAATTATACAACATTTAGACAGTATCTTAGTGATACCATGTTGTTCAGCTGAATCAGTCCAGCTGGACATTGTAATAGCATTCTAATTGCTGTGCTACATGTAAAATTAGGACTTTTTTCAACCTGTACTCTTCACTTGCTAGTTTTTAACACAGATATTCTTGAAAAGCCTAAATTTACAATTTGACAGCACTTAACACTGGAAACTTTTCCCCCTTCACTTTTAAACATAAGAACTGCATTCCTTAATTAAGAGCGCATTAAGCCTACTTATTCATTGCAGAAGTATTTTAAAAAAAATTTTTTTAGAAGTTGGTTTACAAATTTGGCATTGTTTATGCAATAAAAATTATAAGCCTTCTATTTTCAGATAGTTGTATCTTTAAAAAAGTTCAGTGTGTTCCAAGCATCTTACTAAATAATCCACAGTGATCATTATTTTACAAAATAGTAAGTTGCGTAAACTAAAATAGTGAAGGTTGGTCATAAAGACATTTAAAATATATCAACGACAAAATCAAGTTACTATCAATTTTTTTTAAACAGATGAAAGTTTCCTCTCTGACACTTTATTATATCACTTGGAATTTTCCCATGAACTAAAAATACAAAGAAATCCAATCCCTAGGAAGTTTTTCAAAATCTCCAGCTTATTCTGCTGAGCCCAGTATTTGGACAGTTTCTTCCTCATCCTTTTAACTGGATATCACTACACTATTTTGTTTCAAAATCAAATAAAAATTTAATCATCAATTATAAAGGCAACGTAAAATATCTAGTCAATACAAGTAACAAATGATTTTTGAATAAAAGTAATTATCATTAATAACATTTCAGTCACACTCTATGAATCCAAATGAATATATATATATAAACATGTATATGTAATTGTGTATTTACTCTCCAGCATCAAATATAAATGGAAGACTTTACTTCTACAAATAGTTTTACTACTTGAAAACACATTGCTAAATTTAGTAACTAGTAGGAGTAGCTGAGGAGCAATAGACATTAATGTTGAACACGCATGAGTCCTTAAGAAAACTAAATCTTAATTCTTGTACATCTTTATTTAAAAAATAAATTCCTAAATTCTGGTCAATTGCCATTTTCATTAGTACCTGACACTTTGTGGGCCCAAGAATTTTGAAATGTGGGAACCATTCATTTAAATTAGCTGCCAAATATACTCTTGGAATTTCCAAACAACTGACAATTGAAGGACCCTTTGAAAGATGACTTGGAATTTACCATTGAGATAGAGCTAAATGGTCATTAAATATATTTGAGTGTTATTGTTTACTGTCTTTAGTATGCCGTTACCTAGCCTTGGGATCCTTTCAAATAACAATCAATAGAGGATGAATAAATTTCACCACTTGAGAGTAACTAGGAAAAGAAGCCAACAGCAAAATCTGGCTTGACTGGATTAATTCCAAGAAGAGACACAGTATCCGCCCCTTCTCTCCTGTTCTCCCTCCCCTATACAGCCCACACCCTTGCAAGCAAAGAGAATGGAAAAAAAAAAAAAAAATAGAGAAGGAAATCCCAGGAAGAACTTGCAGGGAAGAGAAAACCTCACCCTATGGGATAAACTATAGCCATGGAAACAGACTTATGACTTTTACTTTGAAAATAGATGACAATGAAATTGTGTGAGGTCTGCGCGAATCCAGTCCCAGATGTTTACAATGCTGTAGTATGGCTCTGCAATATGAGAGGCTTCATAAGAAATAGTACAACAGCACACCACAAGGCACTGCATATGCTATTGACAATGCAGACATGAGCATCGTGTTACCATGAGAGGAGGCAGGCGGAAGACAAATAGCAGCGGTGGTGCCTGAAAAGCTAACTTCATGGACTACAATCACTCAAACCAACCTCGGGGATCCGAAGGGAAAAAAGCAATCAAAACCAGAAAAGTGCTTCTCTCCTATCTAGATTTGCCAGGGCAAAGGGACGGGAGTAGGAAGGGAGTGGAAATGAGCTTTCTTTCCTAAATAAAATTCCCATAAAGCTCCTATAACTGACGGTGGGTAATTATTTTCAGATTGAGGAGCCTGTCCCAAAAGCCTTACGATTGCCAGCGAAAGGAAACAAAATGTGTTTACTGGAGCCATTACCAGAAGGAAGGGAAAGAGGACCTTCAGATGGGGTGGGGAAGGCGCTGCAGACCGAGAGGAGCACCTACGAGCTGCCAGGCTCTGTCTCGGGAGCCCTGCGTGGTCCCGAGAGTGACAAGCGCCAGAGGGAGGGCTGGCCTGGTGGCAGAGGTGGGAGGCGCGGAGGAAGCGCGCCCAGGGGAGGGGATGCGGCGGCGGCACAATGTATACACGGGGTGGGGGGTGATTTAGTGTGAAAGTATTCCACTTAATCATTTTACAGGGTTTGGGGACGTAAATATTTAGCTGGCCACATCTGGAACAGATTTTCCCCCCGTGTGGGGTGGGGGTGGATAATTGGAAGGACGGGAGCGCGCGTTGGTTACTTACTGTACGGGCAGTTCTCCTTCTTCGTACCGCTAACCTTGCCGTTCTTCTCAATCTTGAGAAAGTACTTGGTGAAAGAGAATAGCTTTCTCCAGCGCACATCTCCTTGGAGGTGATTGTAGCTCCGCACATGTCTCCCCGCACTGGAAGGAGAGGAGAAGGAGGAGGAAGAGGAAGAGGAGGAGGAAGAGGAGGAGGAAGAGTTGGTGGCCTCTGGTGACACCATGTCCTGACCAAGAGCTTGGCAGGTGACAGGGACGGAAGACACCAAAAACAGCAACAAGAAGCAGCAACAGCAGCCGGGCAGGTGGGGAAAGGCTGAGGCACAATGTGTCAGTATCCATTTCCACATTGTACTGAAACTCTCGGCACTGGAAATTGTCTCATCAGAAGGAACATACTGGAAGGGTAAGACCTGGTGCACCGCGAGGAAACAGCTGGAGATGGTGGCTGCTGGTTAGCTCCTTCTGGGCGCGGATCTGGCCAGAAGTGAATGCGCCAACATCCATAACTCCTCGGAAGGGCCGGCTGCCTCTCGTGGCTGGGCTCTGGGATCCGCCGCCTGCGCCTCTGGAGTCTCCGGTGAACGGTGGACGTGGGTGGCCGCAGCAGCAGGAGCTGGTGGCGGCGGCGGCGGTGATCACCAGCACTCTTGGCTCCCCTGGGAGTTACTTTGTTCTCTTCTTCACCATGTTAGATGAAAAGAAAAAAAAAGTCTGAAAAACAGATGACAGCACGGTGAACAAAACCCAAAGGGAGTGGGTTTGGGGTAGGGGGTGGGTCGGAGGAGTTATCTGCGCCCCTCCTGCGGTTGGCACCTTCTGGTCCCTCTCTGCAGATCTCCAGCCCGCTGGCCACTTCTAAAAGACTGTCCCTTTGGAGTTGTCAGAACTGGAGGCAGCTGCCCGGTCGCTGTTGTTTTCTTCCCCCTCTTCCTTTCTCTTTTTGGTGGTGCCTGTTGATTTGAAGCCTCCAGAAAGTCACTTATCCTTTGGGGTTGGGGGGTGGGTGGGACAGCGGCTGGGGTTTTGTTTGGCCTTCTCCCCCACTCCCGTTCCTTTGGGAAGCGCGCTTGTAAACAGGTTGAAGCCTGGAGTCTAAATGTCAGTGATTCTAAGCCAGAGGTGGGCTCTGCCTCTGCTGGTCAAATCTCATTTGCAGGGGTGGAGAGGCGGGGGGAGGGGGGTCAAACGGCGGTGGGACATCTGAAACCCTCGGCTGCTGGGAACGCCAGGGAGAGGGAGGGAGGAAGGGGCCGGGAGGGGGAGCGCGGCGGAGCGAGCAGGGAGCGCGCTGCCTCTGCCGGAGCTCGGGGGCTGCGGTGCCTTCCTCGCCCCGCCGCGGGCGCAGGCTGCGCGTGCGCCTCGGGCCGAGCTAATTGCTGCTAATGCGTCCGGAGCTCGCGGCGCTACCACCGGCGCTGGCGGTTCGCGTACTCTCCCAAGTTTGTTGCTTCCAGCCTGAACCAGTCCCGGCTGGGGAGCCCCTTTCTCACTTGTTTTTCAGCGCAGGCGTGCCCCCCTCCCCTGCAGGGCAGTGCTGGAGAGCCACCTGGAACCCAGTGCTTGGCTGAGTCCTCCCACACTCCCTCCCCCGAGAGGGCAGGACTGGGGAGAAGGCAGAAGATGCTGAGGATACCTCTCCCCACCCCCAAAACAGCAGATTATAAACTAGTCGGAGCGAACACAGAAAAGGGAGACATAATTAGCTTCCTTTCCTCGTCTGCCAGCTTCCAAGGAGGTCTCCGCTTTAATGAATCGCTGATTTCTTGCTTCCGTTGCTGAAGTAAAAAGTTCACACTTTGGCCCTCTCTGCCTTTTAAACTCTGGGAGATTTATTGTCACCGTTAAAAGTTTCCTCTCTCTTGGCGCAAAAGAAATCAGGGAACCTAAAGACCGATTTCTAATTGCTAACATGAGTCCTTCACCGAGTCGCGCGTGCACTTTAAAGCGAATAGACTACTGAGATCGCAAAGATTTTACCAGTTTGGCTGAATACCCTGATTTTTCTTTTTTTAAGTGCAACTTACTTTGCACTTTGCCATAAAAGGGCGTTTTCCTACCTTTAACTTTAGTGCTAACTGAGCTCTATTTTACAGTGTAACTGCGTTACCAGCTGACCTCTCACGGTCACCCCCTACCAACACACAAGCATTCCCCAGCTCCTCCAACTGCTCACGGAATCTAGTTCTCAGTCCAGGTAGAGACAGACAAGTCTAAGTCTTGAAAGCCGCTGCTCAGAGTAAAAGTCAGAAGGGGGAAAGCACTGTGAGAATCCATTCCAATCCCAGTAGAAGGGTTCCTAGAAGAGCACTTCTTTAGAAAACACTGTAAACTAAGGGGAGGTTTTACTGGAAAGAATGCTTGAGCCTGTATCGTTATGTAAGGAAAGTGGGACCTTTGTGGATTTTTCTTTTTGACGCACATGAAATTGCCAATATTTTACTGCTTTCTCCCTACAAAAGTGGCAGTTTCATATGATTCAATCTAATGGGCTGCCGGCCCCAGGCGAAAATATTTCAAGGTGATTTGAGAGTTTAACAACTGCAACTGTAATTCGGAAGGAACTAATCAAAAGAGCTTGCATACAGAAGTCAGAATGTCTGTAATGTGCATTTGTCCTCAATCTTCCTAACTGGAAAAAATACAAAGAAATTAAAAATTAAGCATTAGAGATAGGCATTTGGAGTGATTATCCAACTGTATTGCTGGGCGACTTGAAAAATGGCTTAAATACATACTCTTATAGGTTCCGGTGGATTCAAAGTCTTTGAAATAGAACCATTTAATACCAGAATCAAATTTTAATTGCGTTATTTATAACTCGTTGTAATGCTTATTCAGAAGATTTAAACAGTGTGGTGAACATCACAGTAGAGTTTTAAGCTTAATAGAATTAGCCCTGATTTCTGTAGCTATTAATTGGAAAGTTAAGTAAATAAAGAGCAAACGTCAAACTATTCTTACTGTTTAATTAAAGCATGGATATTGAAAACTGAAACCGCAGTGCTAATTTCAATTTCCTAGTTCACAGTTTTATACCTGAGAGGACAAATGCCTGAAAGACTATACTGTTTCTAAAGGATTTCAGTTTCAGCCCAATAGTTTAGAAGAATCCAATGTTTGAATTGACAACTAATTAAAACTACATGTTTTTTAGAAATTAGGTTTGATGAAACCATACAATAAACATTCTGCTGTGAAAAATTACAAAACACAGGAAGTTATTATTTTGGGGTTTGTCTACACTGGGAACCAACACTAGTGATGCCAGCTTGGATTTAATTTTTTTAACTCACTCCAGACACCCCTGCAAACCCAACTAATGAGTCCCCCCTCCCACACATTTACCAACTTTCTGCTCCAGTAGAAGCTACTCATATCTTTTAGCTAGAAGTTTTATTTCCTTTTTGTCTAAAATGGGGAAAAAGACACCTTCAAAACTTCCACATTAAAACCTTGGCTACAGCAGGTGCAGTGTTTGAAAGTTCTAGAATCCTCGCTCAGCTCTTCTGCATGGCGTGATGACAGGAAGGGCATTTACAAAACAGCCCAAAGGAAAAGCTGACATAGCTTTTTAGATTATATCTCATTCTTCTTTTTCTTTTCTGTACAGCCTTTCTTTTATAGCACAGTCGAGTCCCTAAATACCCCACTACTTTGTATTGTTAGGTCACCTCTTAGGTTAGCTCGAGAAAGCCTGAGAAAAGTTCCACAGGAAAGATGCACTATTTAACGGAATTCAATCTCTCCCAATAGATTTGAATCACTAACATAAATGTATGAATGTAGATTATATCTCTGTAATGAGGCCTGAATCATTCTCAGTTACTTCAAAGGACTGAAATTCTACCTTCCTTTTTTAGCAGCAATAATCAGGTCTTAATGGGTTCCTTTATTAATTGTTTCTCTGCTAGTATTGAAAAGGACAGTACAAGCTTCAGATTAGAGTGGTACCTACTAATTCTAAAAGGCTGTTTTTCTCTTTTATCCAATCTCTGGAAGGCATGCTTTATTTCTATGCCCTTAAAATATTCAATAATATTATTGTTATTTCTCTAAATCTTTATTGAGAGAAATAGATGTGGTCTTTTAAGAAAATGTGCTGTCTTGAGAAATTATTGAAGGCTTTTAAAACAAGACCATGACAATAGCCATTGAAGAATACTAACATGTGGCTTTTAAGCATAAAAGAAGCAATCTGTGTATGTTCCACCAGATCCTTCAGTAGCTGTTCTGTTTGAGCAGTTTACATTTCGAGCATATATTTCCTGAATTCTTTATGTTGCTTGGTATTATCTGTGGTTCAGTTACAAGATGTGTGTTCTATTATGTGTGATGTTATTGGCAGTGTCGGTAAGCTGCTTCAAATAATGCTATCTCAGGTCAAAAGTCAGCCAAGCTGTTCAACAATTTAGACGTGCACAGGCCTTATTTGTGAAGCCTGTGCTGCAACCCTTACCGAGTATATGCCCAGCCCTTATTTTTTTCTTTTAGACATAGGAGATGGCAGTCGTAAGGGATGTGTAGGGCTTGTTTTCTTCTTGAACTACAGCTCGAAATGATGGTAACAATCTGTGACATTTGAGGAAGATGAAGTAGTGACATCTAGTAATCTTATTTTTAAAGTAAGGGCTTCAATTGAAAGCAAAATCTCAGACACCACAGACAGCAGTGCAGTATTTCAGAACCAGTAGGAATCTTAGCAGTACGGGTTGAATATCCTATCCTTAAAAGACTCGTGACTGAAAGTGTTTTGGATTTCATATTTTCTGAAGTTGGGAATGTTTGCATGTATATTATATATGTTTGCATAAATATGTATACATTTATCATGTTTGCATAATTATATGTTTGCATAAGAATATGTGTATGTTGAGTTTATTGTGCCCACATACACCTTATAATAATATCTTCAAGTTAATTTTATTCAGTGTTTTAGTGTACCTGTCTTTTGACTGCAACCTATTCAATGAAATCAGGTGTAGAATTTTCCATGTATGGCATTATGTTGCCACTGAAAAATTTTTGGGTTTTGATCATTTGGATTTTGGATTTTTCGCTTATGAATGTTTAACCAATAATTGAAACCAACTCACGTGTGTTATAGATGAATGAATGAATATAGATGCCACCAAGTGGCGGACCAGAGTTTAGAACTCCTAGATAGACCTAAGGTTGTGACCCTAATATTTTGTAATACCCAAACCCCCAGCTGCCTTTCGTATTACTCACAATTCACCACTCTATTATGTCTGTGATTCAAGAGTGGAAGTGATAAGAAGGTTCAGAAGGCTTCACACAACATGTCTTTGCTGTAATAGATTAGCCAGATAAAAATAATGAAGAGCTGAGTGTTAAATTATTAAGTACCAACTGATTATGCAAAATGGAATACATATTGATATATGTTTGTCAAAGGGAGTTATTTTATGTGAAGTAAACATGTTTTAAAAAGCAATGCATGCCACATATTTCCAAAATATCCAAGGATCTTTTTTTTTAAAAAAAAAAATTCATCTCAACTTCTACTCCAGGAAATTGATGACACTTTCTAGAAAAGTGGATCTATAATTTAGTTAACCTTTCTGTTAAGTTTTCATAAAGCAATATAATATTGCAAAGCATGTGTTTGCTTAAACCTTTTTTTCAAAAATTGTAAAGTAAATTTCCTATTTTCTTGCCCTAACAGACTTTGTCACTGAGAATGAAGTAGGACCAAGATGGTAAAAAGAATCTTAGGGGAAAATTTCTATTTAAGAATCTTTATATCCAAATAAATCTCCAGAATTTCTGAAACCTGAACCTTGTATCTTGGTTCCAAACATAACAAGCATATTTCCACAAAGCTGCTGTCTGTTTGTCCCTCCCAGCTGATGGTAAACAGAACCTTCCTTTGACACAGTTGTGAAGTCTGAAGCATTTTGTTTGTTTTCCGTGTTGCTAGCTGTCCTTTTGTAGTTTCTCCTTCTACTTCACACCCATTAGGTCTCTTAGTCCTGTCACATGTGGCAAAATTTCAACCTAATATTTGTTATTATTTTTGTTTGTGAATTGCTTTGTTTTAAAATTGTGTTTCTTAAAGTTCTAATATTGTCCCACAACAGACATTCGCAATGTGTTCATTTTTTCATTGATTTATTAGTTGATTTCATTAAACCAGTTCTTACTGAGTACCTACTATGTGCTAGTTGGACATTATGAGTAGTACCAGGTTTTCCAGTAAATAAAAACAATAATAAATTATCATGTGAAGAGCATGTATGCATGAGTGGATGAATGATTTTAGGCACTTAATCACTAGTGATGGGCAATAATAGGGTTATGTTAGACTCAGAAACATGGAGCTGTTT